GTTGCATCCATACTAACGGTACTAGTCGGTGAAGGTGTAGTGGAAATTTGTGATGATGTATTCATATTGTAAACGATTTCTTGTCGTTGATTAAGTGTTACGGATGAACTAAGAGGTTGTCTCTGATCATGTCTTCTCATTGTACCTAAAACATGTGCATAACTGTGAAGCAAACAACAAGAATTATAAGTTTAAGCATTGGAATATTGTATGAATTGTCTCAAGCAGAGAGGAGATTATGATGTTAACAGCATCAAGTGACTGAAACTCTTTTTCATAATATCAAAACATTAGATACTCAAACTTCAATCGGAATTGAAATTTATTGTAGAAGTGTTTATCTACTGTAAAATTTACAGTCTTTTTGTTTTATACCAAAAATCTTAACTGTTAATAGAGGTTTGTATTAAAGCGTTGTATGCTTGACAGTGGACAACCGGACTTTTCTTCCTGGAAGTCTGCCGAACAACGCATGACCATTTTACTCCGCAGCGCAGAAGTTCGTGTTTTGTCGAAGATAATGGCCGCTAAACTGGTAGTCAGTTCGTTAGAGAGAACACATTTTCAAAGAAAACGCTCCTATAAACTATCATTCTGCTGGCGAGTTTCGCAAAAAAATCTGAAAATTCATTTCTACCTCCGGAGGATGCGCAAGTGCTGATTCAACTCCGCAAATTTTCAAGAGAAAATCGTCAGGATCTTGCTTCCTCCTTAATGTAAAAACACCGGAAGTATAGTAAACTGTAGGTTATCTGATGTAAATTGTATTCTAGTCAAGTAAAATCTGATAAGAAGATCGTAGTGGAAGATATTTCCTTTTGGTCTGGCATCAATTGTCACTACTGCCACTTTTCGAGCTTTATTTGAGAGGAATACTTTACTCTATGTTTCTATGTTTACTGGTGTATATGTCCTCAAATATATAAATAATGTATGAGAGAGGCAGGTAGTGGCTGTTTTTACTGACCGACTGACTTTGCTGACCAAATTTGATTAATGTAACCACTGGAATAGACCAATCAAATTTCGTCAGTAAAAACAGTTACCACCGAGAGACAGATGACACTTACTATTATTGGGTGAATAAAAAGCTCCAATTGCGATTAACAGAATATATTCTAGTGTTTGTGATAATATTGTGCTTGTAACTTGACGTTTCGCTCGTGGCTCTGTTACAAAGTTCGATAATGTGAACTGACAGGTGACTTCACCGTTTTCAACTTTTGTCTGCCCGCTACTAAATGTGCCGCCAGCTGATGAATTTAGAATGTCGATCGGTCTCGTATGATTCCCGGGATTGTATGCCCTCTTTACAGCAACAGTTCCATTGGCAAGATACTGGCAGAAAAACACGTGATCTTGTCCCTATTAAACAACGAATAAAGAAGAAATGAACAAAAAACGTGTTCAAAATCCATCATCATCCTACCATTAAATTATCCAATGAGAAGCCAATGGCCACCCATTCTTCGATTTTTAAATTGATGATCGTCATTGTGACATCAGTCGTTCCACTCGCATATGTCCACATAATTTTTACGCCAGTGTTATTAGCAGCTAAAGCTGTGATTATCAAAGCTTGGAAGTAAACTAAGATTTGAATATAACTCATCTAAAGTGGGAAACAGTTCATGATCTTGGCAAATTTTACATAACTTATGTATAAAAACCTCCTGTCTAAAATGCAAATTTGAAGATTTTCTACGATTAACGAAGAAATTGATTAAAACACCATGTTAAAGAATAACTGTGTTCTTAGTTTATCAGCAATTCATAGTTCTTAGAAACACTCATTGGTGTTAATATATGTCCTAGAGCCAACAACTAACAAAATTAACGACGATTTTTTATTGTCTACATATAGCGTTAGGGACATCTATGAATCAGATGAATACGATCTGATAATTGTTACCCATTCTCACTGTTTGACCATTTGTCTAAAATGCGGGCTGGTTCTACTTAAACTTTGATATGAAAGTACTCTTTAAACTGTACGCAGGCTTTTCAGTTCTTCTACCCCAAAGAACTTTTTCCACAGGATTCGATATTCTCTAATTGACAGACATTATTGATTAAGGGGTTCCGGCTTCTCTCAGTGATTACACCAGTTGGTAGAGGATACGTTCAAATGTATGATGTAAAATTTTTCCACTCAAAAGAATTGTACTTTTGAAGGAAATAAATTTTCAGTATTTTCTGTATTTTTGGCTCCTTTTTATAAAAATTGCATAAAACAGAATTGATGATTTTAATTACCTCACCTCTGGCAGAAAAACATTTTATGCATGTTTTGTAAGCTACGCACAATGCAAGGGCAAACAGCTGATTTTCACCGATTTTTGTCGATTTTACTGATTTTCATCTATTTTCATCAAATGAAAAGTCACCAGCAATGACTGGAAGTTATTGAAAACCACAGAGGATCACTGAGAATCAGTGAAAATCAATTGATTTGGGTGATTTTCGACTTATTTTGGGGTGATTTCAGTCTGCTGTTTCCCCCTTGGCACAATGCCAGCTTGTAGGAAATCTTTTTTTCGACTTTGTTACATACTATTTGATAGATTTTTTCTAGTTGATCAAGAATATGTAGTTGTTAGTTTTTCGAAACTTTCTTTTCGTGTCGAAAAGCTTGAAAAAACGACGATGTTCGAAAAAGTTTAATTTTTCAATTTGAGTTTTTAGTCGGAACGTTCAAACTATTTTTTCTTATTCAGCGTTAAAAGCTGAATTAAAAATAAATGATATTAAATCCATTTCGAAGGCCTGTCCACCATGGATGTTCGAATGAATCATTAGAAAAGAAGGATGAATCATTTTGTAAACCTATTTAATCTTTTATGTAAACGCATTGAAATTTTACAATGTACATTTGAACGTATCCTGTACTAACTGGTGTAATCACACAGAGAAGGCGGAACCCCTTAATCAACAGCGCCTGTCAATTAGGAATATCGGATCGTGTGGAAAAAGGGGTTTGGAGTAGAAGAACTGAAAAGCCTGCGTACAGTTTAAAAAGTACTTTCATATCAAAGTTTAAGTAGAACCAGCCCGCATTTTAGACAAACGGTCAAACTCAAATTGAAAAATGTAACTTGTTCGAACA